GCAGTTAGTTATCCGGTGAGAAAGAGAGAGGTTACATGAAGCAGAAATGCAGCATTCGTGCAAAAAGACAAATCCTGTGCCAGAGATTATCACAAAGGCCACTCAAGAGAACTTCATACGCACTCTGGTTCACAAAGCATGAGTAAGAACAGGGAGCATTTGCGGAAAATAAACAAATGGAGTATCCCTCTCTCCCACCCCACCCCCAAATGTTTATAAATACTTTAGGTTTCATGGTAGGAAGGAAGCTGTCTTCTCTCAGTGGACTTCTAGTTTAGACTAGCTATACAGTCTGTCAGTCATAATTTCTGGGAGTGTCCAGTGAGTGTTCAATAAGTAACCCATACTACCACCCCCCAAAAGTCTGCCTTTGGCCTTTGCTATATTGTAAACCGCCCTGTGATGCTTGGATGAAGAGTGGTATAGAAATTTAACAGTAGTAGTAGTAGTGGTAGTAGTAATCCATCATGATTTTCTTCCATACTATCAATGTGCTGATGATGAGCAGCTCTGGGAGTGGTAGATTTGCCTGCCATGCGCCATCAGAAGTGTAGCCATCATGGCTGATAGACTTATCCTCTATGGTTTTGTCACATCCTGTTTCAAAGCCATCCATGCTGATGGCCATCACTGGCTCTTGGGGGAGCTAATTCCCTGCTCTGTGTGAAGAAGCCCTTCCCTTTGTCTGTCCTGAGGATTCCTCTAACATTTGGCTTCATTGGATTCGCACAAGTTCTTATATTATGAAAGAGAAAACCTTTTATGCACCTCTGTCATGCCATCTCTTACTTGCTTTTTCTCTAAACTAAAAGACCCCAAATGTTCTAAACTTCCCTCATTGTTTCAATCCTTTTTCTTGCCCTTTCTTTTTCTAACTCTGCAATATCTTTTTCTGAAGTGAAGCAACCAGAACTTTACTCAGTATTCCAAATGTGGCCTCGCCAAAGAATTGTATAGTGGCCTTATGAGACTGGCAGTTTTATTTTTCGTTCCCTTCCTAATGATGCCCAGCACGGAATTTGCCCTTTTCACAGCAGCTACACAGGGGGGTGGCATCTTCATTGAGATCTCCTCTGTGAAGGCAAGGTCTCATTCCTGGTCAGTCACCAACCATGTCATGTTCTTCTAGGGCCATTAGATGGCGCTCCTAAACCATGTTTCATTTCACAGTGAGAAACATATGCTAGAAGAGGAATCTTGAAAGCTGAAGTTTAAGAGAAGGTGGTAGCAGACAAAGGCTGAGAGCCGCTAAGTCCCCCCCAGTAGACACATCCAAGGATGCCCGTGTCCAGGAAAGCAGCGAACCTGACTGGCACCTCATTTTTCAGAAGGGTCATAGTTTTAACTAAAGAGCCAATGTGAACAACAGAACCTTTGGCCTACATTTTGCTCCTGAATCTCAGCCTCCCACTTCCATTTCATAGAACTGTTTCATTTCCTTCATTTCATTTGTTACATTTCTATGCCCCTTTACACTCACGTGAGTCGCAAAGCGGCTTATAAACAATAAATAACAATGACATAACAGAACATCACAATTACTATATAAATCGCATATAAAGGTAAAGGTACCCCTGCCCGTATGGGCCAGTCGTGTCCGACTCTGGGGTTCCGCGCCCATCTCACTTAAGAGGCCGGGGGCCAGCGCTGTCCGAAGACACTTCCGGGTCACGTGGCCAGTGTGACAAGCTGCATCTGGCGAGCCAGCGCAGCACACGGAAATGCTGTTTACCTTCCCGCTAGTAAGCGGTCCCTATTTATCTACTTGCACCCGGGAGTGCTTTCGAACTGCTAGGTTGGCAGGCGCTGGGACTGAACAACGGGAGCGCACCCCGCCACGGGGATTCGAACCGCTGACCTTTCGATCGGCAAGCCCTAGGCACTGAGGCTTTTACCCACAGTGCCACCCGCGTCCCAAAAATCACATATAATAGCTAACAAATCAGTAAAATTACCTCCTTCTATAAAACACTATTAACAAAAAAAACAAAACAGCAAAAATAAGCTACATAGCACAACAGCAACAAAAGTCACATTATAAGAATGGTGGAATTGGAAGGGACTCCAAGGGCCATCTAGTCTCACCCCCGGCAATGTAGAGATCTCAACTAAGGCATCCATGACAGGTGGTCACCCAACCTCTGCTTAAAACCCACCAATGAAGAGGAGATGCCACTGCCTCTTGAGGGAGTCTTCAAATTTGAGTTTAACATCCGCTCTGAGGAGAGTATCTATAGCTAGAGGAAGGAGCCTCATAGCTTCGATAGGAAGACGGTGTTGAGTGTCTTGGGAGAGTTTCCGCCAGGAGTGAACTGGAGGGCTGAGTCTGAACACCGAGAAGGAGGAGCTGTGGGAATACAGACTCCCTGAGTCTCATTCTAGCCAGGAGGGGAGAGTTCTTCTAGGGGGAAAAGACTCCTAAGCCAGTAACAAACCCGGGGTCTATTATACTAATTGGAATACCTCAGGAGTGGCATTGCTAAGAGGTTGGGTTACTGGTGAAAAGTGCCACTCACACTTTTCACCAACTTTTTTTGTAAATATAACTTTTCTTGTTTGTTCATTTTCTGTCTGAAACTCCAAATCACTAAGTTTTCCCTCACACCAAACAACCAAACATGTCCAAATATAGCAGACCCTACCATGTGGTGGGTCTGCTATATTTAATTGGGGGCCGTTAGTGGGGTGAGTCCACTCCATATTAATTGGTGGTTAGTGGTGGGGTCTGCTATAGTCCCCTTCCCCTACAGCAACAGGTGCTCCTGTCACAGAATCTCCCCCCTCCTGCAGTTCTGCCGCTCACATCGATGCTTGACAGCCAAAGCACAGACAAAGGGTTCCCTCAAATATGACCTTAACAGAGTGGAAAACTGGGCCAAAGCTAACAAATCGAATTTCAATAGGGACAAATGTCAGGTTTTGCACTTAGGCAGGAGGAACCAGATGGACAATATAAGATGGGGGACAACTGGTTTGCCAGGAGCACATGTGAAATGGGCCTCGGGGTCTTGGTGGACCACAAGCTTAACACAAGTCAATAGTGTGATGCAGCAGCAAGAAAAGCAAATGTTCTTCTAGGCTGCATCAGCAGAAGTCTAGTGTCCTGATCATGGGAAGTAATAGTACCACTCTATTCTGCCTTGGTCAGACCACACCTGGAATACTGTGTCCAATTCCGGGCACCACAATTTAAGGATAATGATCTTATCATCATGGTTCACTAGGTGCTGTGGAGGATGTGTGAGGCTGGGAGAAGCATTCAGCTGGAGCTGCCCCAGCAGGCAGGGATCGGTCTTCTTAGATTGTTAAACAATCCTCGAGCTCCTGGGCTGCTTTATATAAAAGAATATTCAAAGAAATCATATAAATACCCCACAGTAAAATACAGTAAATGAAGAAAAACGAAAAGCAGGTAACATTTCCTGTGTAAGAATTTAATTAAAACTAATCTAAAAGGCCTGTCCCAAAAGATTTTCTCCTGGCACCAAAAAGAAGGCAGATGGCACCACACAGGGAGGGTGCATATAGCAGGAGACGGCCCTGCAAGTACCTAGGTATGAAGCTATGAAGGCTCTAAATGTTAAAATCAGCCCTGTGAATTGCATTTGGAAACAATCCATGCAACCGTTTCAAAACTAGTGAGATGCACGCTGCACATTTGGTCCCAGCGAACCTCCTAGTCACTGCATTTTTCATTAAAAAGACCCTCCAAATGTCCCTATTTTCCAGGGACAACCTCTGATTTACAGAAGCCGTCCCAGTTTGTGATTTGACCCTGGAATGACCCACTTTTCCTTAGGACGTCCCTATTTTCACCAGAGAAATGCTGGAGGGTATGGTATGCGACCCCCCAAGCCAAGGAGAAAAGTAGCTGTACAACCTTTAGAAGACACCTGAAGGCAGCTCTGTATAGGGGTATTTTTAATGTTTAATTATATTTTTATATATGTTGGAAGCTTCCCAGAGTGACCGGGGCTTTCTAATGGGCAGGGTATGTGTAATATATATATATATATATCTGTGTGTGTGTTTGCATTGCAGTTATCCTCTCCTTCAGAAAAAGCAGCAGTTGTGGCCCTGTCTGGATTACGACCACAGTGTGGAGCAGGCAGACCCCCTTTGCCACATTCCTCCTGAAAATCTTCCCCCTCCCATACAACTCTTTGCTTTGGTGGGTTTTATTCCTCTCCGAAGTAGTAATAATTTGAAATCAACATGCTCTGGATAAAACACTCTAACTGCCTAGCAGTTTTCCCTGTATCTCTGCTGCATTTTGCTTTGGAAACTGTGTCCCTTAGCATTAGTGTACATTCCAATTTTAAATCCTAGGAGGAAGCAGGATTAAGTATCCTCAGAACCTTTTTCTTAAGTGTATTTCTGTGAATGGACAGTTAACATTGGAAGCAGCCCACAGGATGGTCCATTAGTTCAGTAAAACGAATACTTATCAGTCTTGTGAAGGGTGAAGCTGCATTATTCTATTTGTGGGAATACAGCAACAGAGCCCCGTGTTGTTCAAACCACTGATCAAAGCTTGACCTGGAAGCTTTTGATGGACCCACCGTCCAATTTGCCCTGTTGTCAGAAGCCATGCTTACTGGTCAGTTAGAGGTCCCATGGGCACTCTGCCATCCAAGAACTTTTCTCAGCTGATCCAATCCAGTTATCTCTGGCTCTCAGTCCAGCTTTCATGTACTAACAGAACTCCCCTTTCTGCAAATGGCGGCCCATTAGAATTTGCTTTCATTTGTATGGTTGTGTGTGGGGACACTACCATGTACTTATATGGAACTGTTCTCTCTCATAGCGTTTAGGGACAGTTGGCGCGCTCATGAGCTCTCTGCGTGCATCAGGACATGCATGGGGCTCTGGGCTGGGGTTACCCTCTGCAACCCATAATTTCACAGTCGTTGAGGCTCAGAACTTGACAATGATTATTTATAATGAAATTTACAGCTTTCAATATTACCATTAAAAAAATAAAGATGGAAGCTGAGAACTTAAATACAAATGAAGTTTTTATTGACATTGTAAGAAACATTTTATTCCTCAGTACAAAAGGGCTAAGTGGTTCTGAAAGCCTAAGTACAGTTGATATGTACACAGTGCTAAGTTCCTTCAAGCTGATCTAAGGCTTGGAGAACATCAGATCATAAATGCAGATTTATCAAATGAAGACCACTAAGATCTGTTACATCTGAACACTATTCCTATTGTATGTAAATGTATTTACACATTTTTCTTTAAAAAAAGAGATTACACTTTTTATAAAAGTAAAAAAAAAAGTTGAGGTGAAAAAATGAACATGAGGTTTTTTTAAAAAATCTTACAAATATGCAGGCTGACAAAAGCGAACTTTCTCAAAGACGGCATTCGATTCCTATTGGACACTAACACATGAATGCCTAAGATTCACAAGACAATGTTCAGGCAGTTTTATCAACAGTGGTATGTGCTGTTATTGTAAGAGCAGCCTTATAGCTAAATTTGGCACTATTCCCCCCGCTGCTTTTAACCAAAACAACTCAAAATAAGGCACATCCATTGCAGGAATAGAAACACAGTTTTTTCATGGAAAAGGTCAAAGTGTCAATTGAAGGAGGCCTAACCCATGACTTATCCAACATCATCTTAGAATTACTGGAAAAGGAAATCACATTTAAGACAGAAATAACAAAAGCTCAGAAACTAACCTTTATTACATAGTACCATATCAAGACCTTTCTTCAGCAGAGAGAGAAATCTAAACTGCAGCTCTGATGTAGAAGTCCATAGAGTTGGGTTCCAACCCATTCTATAATGTTCCTTACAGCACAATCCTAGCCGTATTTACTCAGAAGTAAAGTTCCTTTGTTTGTTCATTTGTACCTGCTTGTAATTGACAATACAAAAGGATAACACAGATGGGGAGAGAAAGGTCCATGGAAGAAAAGTTAAACTGATGGGTATATGTATGTTTCTTGTTACGGTCAACAGAATGCCTTTAAGAATAAACTCTGGTCATTACTGTTCTTTGCGTTGAAATAGATTAGACTTCTGTGGTAGAAAGCAAGGATTTTTAGCAGTGCTTACCTTCCCTAGTTAAGGTTGCTGCTGTTCAGAACTTAGGAGTGAATTCAGGCAAGTGGGTTTCCCACTTCATCTCAGGGGCACCAAGCTGTCTGAAGTTACAGAAGACATATGCCATTTAGACATGCTAAATTCAGCGCAAGTCTGAATTATTTGGGGATGAAGTCTGAAAAATGATTTTTCCCTATGAACTGTGGCCGAAGTGATCCTGAAAGACTGTGGCAGGTAGAATAGCCTCTAGAACAAATATAAAGTGTGGCATTTACATTATTAAGTAGGATAACTGGCACGCAAGAAGCCTCTTACTGTGCTTCTGAAAGATTCTCAAATTTAATGCATAACAAGGAGGAGGAAGTTCCCATAACTCTGGGACTGTTGAGATGACTTAATTGTCTTGACTTTGACTGGGATAAAGAGGGGAGTTTCAAAAATCCCCATATACACAGTTTTGAAGTGTCCCTCCCCACAATATAGCTGAAGCTAAATTTAGGAAGTGGCCTTTGACAGGAGTGCAAGAAATTGCAGTTAAAAACCAAACAATCCAACATGAGCCAAGCAGCGTATCATGTTATCTCTTGCTTCCAGTCTTTGTGCACAGGGGCCATTTTGTGACTTGGTGATGGGTTGTGTAAGATACGGTTGGGGCAGACAATGATCCAGAAATTCACCCTGTCAGCTTTTGCTTTCTAAGTCCTGTAGTATTTTTTGAGGGGAGGTGGCAGTAATGATAAGGGTCGTAATTATTACGGACTTTCAGAAGGCTCTGCTGATGGAATGGGCACCTATCTTCACGCCTAAAGCCTTAGGCTGCTGCTTACTCCAGTCCATCTTACAAACTACTTAGGAATGATGTTATTGCAGTCAGACCCAGCATAAGCAAAGAGTATGAACATCTAAACTCCAGCTTGGGTCTCTATCTGACAATACTTCCAGGGTGGGAACTGCTACTGTGAGCAGGAAAGGCTACACTGCTTAGTTACAGGAGCATGTTTGCATGTGGAGATTTCTAGGCTCAATCCATGCATCTCCTGATAAAAGGTCCCTGCTGAGACTCTAGACATGGCAGTGGGAAGATCTGTCCATTTTGGTTTCTCCCACTTTCTCCAATTTTAAGTTCAGTTCTCTACATTTCCATGTTAGTTGTGATTTACATTCCTCATGAATATTCACCAGCATTTTTAGTATGGGAGTCTGCTGATATGCACATTTTCCCACACAGTTTTGCCTAATGTAGACACTTTTACAAACACTTTGGGGTCTTATTTGCACTAATATGTGCATTTCTATGCACTCTTTATCCAAGTAAATGCAGTTTTTGTATACATTACTTGGCTGGACATTTTGAGAAGTGTGAACATTTTGAGAAGTGTGAATTTTGAAGGATGGCTTTGACTTGTTTTGGAAAGTGCAAGTAAGGCTAAGTTTTCCTGTAAACAAAAACAGAACCATACCCCTCCCCCCAGCCTTACCCTGGAGTGCTTAGATCATAGTGGGCCAGACAGAGGAATAGTATGACTTGATGTAAGGTATGTGCTCCTTTGACACTGCACCAGTAAATTTGGGAAATACATGGGCAATGCTGGTAATGAGAGGGCTGGGTTGCAGTCTCCTTGCACAAGTCCTAAATGTTCCACTATTACCATAGTGGTTCAGGAGGGACACACATTGCAGTAGCCTTGGTTACCCTGAAGGCAACCTTGGAAGAGTAGAAAAGATTAGCCTCTCCAAGTGATCCACTGCTAGAACTTAACTTCACACACAAGTACATTCTATAAGGAAACATTCCTCCAAACAGGACTTCAATGGTCAAAAACATTACAATAATTTTGGTTTCAATTGTTTTATAGGATGTTTGTGTTGATTGTTCTTCTAAGCTCAGAAACATGATAATGAATAGATGACAAATTAACTTCAGTACTCCCAATTCTATGGAGAACCTCTACATCAGCAACTTTCAGGAATGTGTGATACTGAAGATGAGATTCTCCACACAATGTTAAGTTGTTTTGCAATGTTACAGACAACATGTGGAGGGTCATCATGTACCAGTGTTGGTTGGTGGCCTCAGTGTGTATACAATTGGCCTGGTTTAATTAAAAACACAGTGGTTCAGGCTCTATTGGTAAAGAAACAACCAGGTGGGTTCAAATCATGGTACTATAATATTGCCTGAGCCCAAAACATAAGAAATCTGGTGCAGTAATAACAGCACATTGTAATTTTGACATGATTAAGGGTTGAAGAAGTAGTGCAGCTGTTTAGTTCCAGGAAAATGTGCCTTTTGGAATTCCACCACCCTAGAGTTGGAGCAACAGGAAAAATAAAGTCCTGATAAAACTGAGAGGTGCAAAGAAATCTCTAGAGTAACTTCTGCTTCACTCATACAATGGACCATTAAGAAACAGAGTGGGCTACTACACAGAATACAAACATAAGAGCCACAATCCAACAGAGCTAACTTGAGCTCATTTAAAAGTATGGATGCATTTGTGCTTGCTGTTGTGTTGCATTGTGCAACAAGACTAGAAAAGTAACCATCTTGGCAGTGAAAAATGAACAGGTCAGGGATATGTAAATTGAACTCTAAGATGGTAGGCCAACTCAATTTCCACAAACAGCATAAGAACGATATGAAGATTTTATAAACATTATTTAAAAAATAATGTAGTGTGTGTGAATGGCAACTTCTACATTTGGGATAGACCACCACTGATGGATATTGGTGGAAGAGCTTTCAGAATAGCTGTTACTGAGTGAAATGTTCTTGTACTGAACTTATTGACAGAGTCCCTATCCCAAAGGGAATCCTTATTTTTCCGGGGGGGGGGGGGGTTATGCACATTATGCACAAAATGATGTGATGTTCTGTATGTTCTGTCTGTGGATTGAACCTTCTTATCAAGGACTAGCGCCTCTCATTTTGTTCTGTCGTTTTGCTTTGTTCTTGCCTTCCTCTGTATCACACCTACCTACTGGTATGGCTCATTTGTGCTTGAAGTTTCCGGCCCCATGGCTTAGGGTGGTGAGGCAGTGGAAGGCTGATAGGGGGCGGCTCTTGCTTGGGATATGTGGTTGGAATTGGTGGCATTCTTGCCCCTTTCTATGAATGAAGCTTTGGCCGGATCGCCAAGCCAATGATAGAGGACATTTACAGCACCACTGGAAGTCAGTTGTTGTTAAATGGAATTATAGTAAACAAGAACTAAACATTTTGAATATTATAGCTTGAGCTTTTAAACCACTTAGATCTATGCATATTGCACTGAAGTGAATGCCAACAATCTGAACTAAACCTTGCTTAAAAGTGCAACTTGTGTTTACATTTATGTCTCAGACAAGCAGACTTATAATAGCACTCGCATAGATATTGATTTATTTTCATACACGCACATGTTCAAGTTACTCCCCATTTTGTAACAAAAAATGTGAGGCTGACTCATTATGCAATGGGGGTTTTGGAAATTGAAGCCAATTTTTGACATAAAAATGGGCAGTCATTTTGTCATTATTTTCTTTTTTAACGAACTTATTTTTATTGGAATATGCTTCAGTGTTATTTATTTATATGGTATTTTGTCTCTCCTCAGTCCAAAGCAGTGGTTTTCAAGCTGCATTCTGGAGAACCCTAAAATTTGTTAGATGCACTTCTACACGTTCTTAAGTGAAAACATCAGTAATGACAGACTTGTTCATTATCACTGACACACACACACACCGCAGTATATAGCCAATGTGGTCTTGGGTGGTTCCTCAGCTCAAGTAGGGCCAGGATGAGACCCAGCAGGCCCTCTGCAGTCTAGAACATGACTGAGAAGATTTGCCTCAGGCAAAGCATTATGCGGAGAGGTCCTTGAATACAGAAAACTTGAAAACCACTGGTGTAGAGCAATAGAAATGACAACTCAAACCACTACACGTGGTTTTTTTTTGAATAAATTAGTTGCTTTAAACCATTCACCCATTCCTCTTGACAGGGTTTGCGTGATCAGTGCTAAGAGGATGGAACCCCAAACTTCAATATATATATGTGCTCCTGGTAATGTTGTGTCTACACGTTGGAACCTGGCTGTATAAGAACTCCAGCAACAACCATATAGGATTGTATTTCCTTTTGAGTTACAGGAAGAGGCAATGCCATTTTATCAGACCTTCCTCAAAGATAAACCAGCATGCACATCACACATTTACATTGGCTTACAATTACAAAAAATATATAAACAAACAATAAAATAAAAAAGAAGCATATAAACATTGGGAAAAAGGGGGGACTGTGGGTGTAACAATACTGATTCAGAACTGAAACGGAAGACAGTTTCTCCCTAGAACACTTTAGGGTTTTTCAGAGTCCTTATTCCATAAAAGGAATATACTTGAAACACATCCCATTTAGGTGAGATGAGACTGCTAAAGTACTTAAAGCAACTAAAAAAAATGAATTACTTTTTAAAAAAATCTTTCATCTCCTAAGTTGTGTATGTCTATTGCATAACAGCAAGAAACTTGCTTTCTTCTGCAAGTGAGGTCAACAAAGAATTCATGTCCCCAATGGCCATGTTGTTTGTGCTTATGGGCATGGCTGGGAATGTAAGAGACGCTCGGGGAGTGGTGAGGCGGGAGGAGTTGCGGGAGAGGTTCTGAATGATGCTGGGACTCAGGGCTCCTGAAATCAAGCTGGCATGGTCACCATCATCTATGATAGCATCAAAATCAATCTGCACGCTTTCGAGGCTGCTGGTGTCAATGCTGTCAACGGTACTTGTTACCTGGTTGGCTCCTGGGGAGAGAAGCTCTGACGAAGTAGCATCACTCGCCCCCTGAAGCAGGCAGTTAGCTTCTGAAAGGGGGAAAGCACCTGCTTTCAGAGCTTGCTGGCTAAACCCTGTGGTTTGGTCATACAACTGACCAGAGTAATTCTGCATATTAGAGCAGAACTGCTGCGACTGACCTTGGGATTCTACTTTGATGCCATTGACCCTGTGTGGCTGGTTGGCATCCCTCATGTGTCCTTGCGGCTGCACCAAGTTATTCCTTGACGTGTTTTGTCGCCTGCCACCCCAGTAGTTGGCACAGGGCTGGTACCCTTTCGCCACCACCAAACCTGATGGCTGGATCCCAGCATTGTGAGACAGTGGACAACTTTGTGGCCCTTGATAAAGGGTGGGTTGTGAGGGAGCTGAAACGTGCTCTATCATCATTTTATGGGAATGATTGACTTCTTGGCAGTAGATATCAGCGGTTGGCCGATTATGAAGGTACTCCTGGGCAACCACATTTCTGCCCTGCATCCTGCTAATTACATTGGGAGACTGCTCCTCTGATACTGCAGTGCAGCCAAAATTCTGCTGGTTTCCATTATTTGGCATGAAATTATTTCCCAGCTTTTGCCCTTGAATCACAATGTCATAGGTATTGCCCACTGGTTGTCTGCCAATACTTTCACCATACAGCTGTGCCTTATTTGACTGAAGGTGGCAAGAATGACTGGTGTCACTGTTGTTCATGACCATATTCTGCTGTAAACTGCAGGAGCCGTTGTTGTCTAGAAGATGCTGATAGCCATTTTGCTGGGACACAGCATTTCTCTCCAGCCCATGGTGCTGCTGTTGGACAACCATGTTGTTATAGAGGCCTAAGGTTTGAGTGTGCTGGATCAGGGACCGTTGCCCACATTTTAATTTTGACGGAGACAAGTCAGAACTTCCTGAGCTTACTTCATTCCACTGAATTGGCAGGTCGTTTTTACTGGCCTCAGAGTTGTTTGGTGGAGGAGACTGGTCAAAGTTGTTGCCGTACCCCAATGCTGAATTGTGATGCACTTTGTTGTGATCTAGTCCACCATTCGGCAGGTGGTTGTACGCACCCTGATTCTGAGAATTCAAATATTGGACCACGTCGTCAGGTAGGAGATCCTCATCATTCAGACTGCCATCTGCTTCCATTGTAGCAGCTTCCATGGCCACATTCTCAGAGATACTAGGAGGACAAGGGGAACAGTTGCGGAACAAGCCACCATCAGAACGGGTGTAGTTCTGAAGGATGAAGTTACGCCTTTCCATAGATGGAGGCAAAACAGGAGGGTTAAAGCTATTGAGACTGTTGAAACGCTGGACTCTGGGAAAGGAAAGGTTATCGGAAACTGGTCTCACAGGGTCACTGGCTCTCCTTGTGCTGTTCCCCAACACATCATGGGGCAGTATGTGTCGCCTGTTGTAATTGTTTGTCCCACCATCACTACATCTTCGGGGAGGATTCATTGGGGGCAGTGGTGACATTCCAGACTCCCTACAGTCACCCAATAGTGCCATTTTTGTTTTCAAGCTCATCCTCTCCATATTAGGGAGTGGTGTGGGTGGGGGTCCACCAGTAGCTGCTGCATATTTTGCTTTCAGCCGGTATTGCTGGGCAGGGGTCAGGCTGAGAAGACCTGGCAAGCCATCACACTGGCTGGCTTCACTGGATCGCCGAGAGGCATCGGTTGAAATGGGGTCGTAGGAATCAGTAACACTGATGTTCTGGAGCCTCCCCTCGCCTTGGGAAGCATCACTGGACCTCCGACTAGAGAAGCAAGGTGAAATCCCAGAGGATCTGCGGCTGCTCATGTAGGCTGAGCTGATGGTGCTGGTGTTGCTGTCCCTTCTGTTCAGCATGTTGAGCACAGTAATGTCCATGTTTGTGAGTTCATTTTTATTGGCTAGAATAGTCATGTTTCCCCCAATGCTGCAGCTGCTGCTTGAATAAGTACCTGGGGTAAAGAAAGAAGAAAAGACTCCAGGTTGATCAGGGGAAATAAAGAAATGGTACGAAATGTGCTACAGGCCTTTCCAAGAAAATGCCATTATATTTCCAAAATGTAGATGATGGGGCCAACAAGACTTTTGGATTCAGGCACACAAAGAATAATGTTGCAAGATGAAAGAAAGCTGAAGGCATTGCCCAGACACTGGCCGCAATGCAACACAGAATGAACGATGCTGCCTGGAGCTGTGGACAAGTTCCCACTGAGGTTTACCCCGGTAGTTGGGCAGTGCTGCTTCAGTTAGGTAGCTCACACAACTGAAGTCCACAATGCTGTTCTATACAAAAATTAAAATACCTTCAAGAGAAAAAAGCATGTTAAGAGTAGCACAACTGGGTCTATGTTGGCTTGTCTCTCTTGTCCCTAGTAGGACTCCACTGACTGGATCTGTGAAAATATGCAGTCTTTTTTAAAATGTAGATTACAGTCTTAATCGAACCATACTGAAAGCCAAAACTGCAAAATACACAATTCCATAAATTATTTGGGATAATTTGAAAGTCAGTCTTCAATATCTTTTGCATGACATTCCAAGCAACATTATAAAATAAGCAATTATAATAATTTCTTTTCTTTTCTGTAGTTCCCTTTATTGGAATGAACTTAAACCAGAAACAAGAAATACCACAGATATTTTGCATGGGTGGCTGCAGTTGAAGGAGTTTTGCAACGAAGTTGAAGGAAAAAATCTTTGGGCAAAAATGGCGATGAGACCTGCGATGGACTCTGGGTATGTTTTGTTTCCCAGCTCCATTCACGTGTATCACCTACATTAACACATGCTTTGGACTAAACACAAGAATTCTACCATACCATCTTTCAATAAAATATTAATAATAAGAATCTTACCACCTTCCCTAGTGTACCCTTCTCCCTGGGATAATACTTTGATATGAGCAGGAAATTAGGTTGCAATCCTATACATGCTGACCTGTGAGTAAGCACCACTGAACTCATAAGGTCTGAGTAGACATGCACAGGCTTAGAGCAGAGGTTTTCAACCTTTCTGAGTCCACGGCTCCCTTGACCAACTACATTCTTTCTGTGGCACCCTGTGGGGCTCAGGAGCCCAGTTATGTTACCCCTTGCCTGCAGAGCCGGCAGCCCCTCACCCCTTTTTGAACACCATTCCTTGGGGAGTGTTCCCTCAACCTCCTCTCCTCTCCCCTCTCTTTGGGAGTCCTTTGGGCAGCTGCAACCCCACAGGGGCCTGGGAAGCACCCCCTGCCCAGCCCCAGAGGCACCATTTGCCTGGGCTGCTGCAACCAACAGCTGTGGAAGCCTTTGGGAGGCAGAGACATGAGAGGGCATCAGAGGCCAGTGTAGCCCTGTGGAACCCCTGACTATCATTCAAGATACCCAGGGTGCCAAAGCACCCTGGTTGAAAACCACTGGCTTAGAGTATAAGGCTCTAACATGATTAAACAAATCTTATTCAACTGCTCTACCTGCTTTAAATAATATACTTATTTAAAATTTGCATTTGAGTAGAACAATAGTTCTGAAGCAAGAAGCATACTTTGCTTTCAGAAACTGGATAGCTGTGCTGTACCCACATCGTCTTAAAACAGTCCACCTGTGAGAAAGAAAAGGAGGAACTATCTCTTTTAGGAGTTTTTTTTTTGCAGGGTTTTTTTTATAACAACAGTAATCTTTTCTTAATCACTGACTTAGTGCAGCACCTTTTAGTAGAGTATCTTGAATCAATTAATGCTCTAAGCTGGTTGCATTCTGAGCAAAAACCGTGTTTTGCATAGAAGAGCATTCAAAAAAAGTGATCTCCACTTGTGGTTTGAAATGCTGTCCCAACTAAAGTTACATGGCATAATTACGTGGTGATCAGCTTTGTCCCTGTGTGGTGTAGTGGTTAAGAGTGGTGGACTCGTAATCTGGGGAGCCGGGTTCACGTCTCCACTCCTCCACATGCAGCTGCTGGGTGACCTTGGGCCAGTCACACTTCTCTGAAGTCTCTCAGCCCCACTCACCTCACAGAGTGTTTGTTGTGGGGGAGGAAGGGAAAGGAGAATGTTAGCCGCTTTGAGACTCCTTTGGGTAGTGATAAAGCGGGATATCAAATCCAAACTCTTCAAATCCAAACTCTTCTTACGTGATAATTTTAGTCAGGGAAGGGCCTATTAACACTCCATGATTTCGTACTCTCAAATTAGAATGAGCATGCACTTTATTTAGTTGCATTATAATGGCAAAAGCACTAAAGAAACCCTGTGCAGGGTTGGGGGGGTTTCTGGGGGGGGGAGGGATAAAGTGTCAATTCATAAAGTGGATTCATTCATTCATTATTTTATCTTATTACTTAGAGAGCTTATATACTACTTAATTCCAATCTTCTTTAAGTGGTGTACATGGAATATAATACAGTGAAAATAAAATTCAGTTAAAACTATAAAATCAGAATCCAGTTAAAATGTCTGCTGGGACAACAACAACAAGCATTTTGTAGGCAGACCAGAAGTTCAACAGGGATGGGGGGGGGGCTCTGTGACCTCAACAGGAAGGATGTGCCATAAAATTTGGGTCACAATACTGAACACACATGGTGTACTGGAGCCATGCATCCATGCCATGGGGAACACGGACAGCGGCTCCACCAAACATCTCAGTAACTAGGCAGGGATCAGGCGGTCTTTGAGGTATCCTGAACCCAGTAATGTATGGGCAGTCAGTGCTGGCAACAGTCTGTCCCCATCAATGGTCTAGCTGCAGATTATATTAAATGGGCATATCTTACCATTTCCTATGAGAGGCGGCAAAGTTGGGGCTTTGGAATGTGGAATGGGGTTCAGTCTTGGAAGCACTCCACTGATTTGTTTCAACCTTTCCAGCTTAACTTGCTCCATCCATTTGGTCTCTGACATATTCCTCCTGGTCTGCAAGCCAAGTGCTGTGGTTGCTGTGGAAATGGTAGAGTCCATGATAGGGGTTTCATCTATGACACTGAGGTCTCCTACACTACCTCGACTGGTCAGATTAAGCTCGGTCCCATTGTTGGAATAGGTGCTGATGGGGGACTGCTCGCTGCTGCATGTAGACTGACCACCAGGGCTTGGCTGAGATGTCTGTTTGGAGGAGAAAAGATATGGGGGGGGGAGGAAATCCAGTTAGAAACAGAATGCACCTAGGATCCATCATGCTTAGAGAAAGGCAAGACAGAACTCGGAACTGTGTTTATCCTCAGCCATCTTGCAAGGTACCTCAGTTATTTATTTAAATGAGGTACCTTGCAAGATGGCTGAGAAATAAACACAATTTCATTATTAAGAAAAGCCTTACTAGGTCAGAGTCATGCTGAGGCAAGTGCAGGATGCTACCAAGGACTCTCATCTTACCAAACCATTTTAAGCTTCTGAAATCTAAGGCTAGGGCCTGCTCTTCAAAAGAGTGTGTGTATTCTTCTGATGTTGGACTTGTGCGTCTGGAGTAACATCCTTCTCCCACATCAGACGAAATGCTTAAAAAAAAGCTACTGAAAATGAGAGGGGTCTCGTGGCACAGCTGGAAAACATTCTCTTTGTGAGTTCAATACATTGGAGATGCTGGAAGTAGCTCTTTAATTCCTGGCCAATATGATCATCTGCAGCTGAACGGCACCAATATATGTATGGCCCCATCTCCAGGGAGTGAGCCAGTTGCTAGTGTTATAAAGTTAATATTCAGAAGGGTCTGGTTCTCACTGCAGTGCAGCATCCTTAGTACTGTGTACTGGCCAATACAGTGGTACCTTGGGTTACATACGCTTCAGGTTACAGACTCCGCTAACCCAGAAATAGTACCTTGGGTTAAGAACTTTGCTTCAGGGTGAGAACAGAAATCGTGCGGCGGCAGCGGGAGGCCCCATTAGCTAAAGTGGTACTTCAGGTTAAGAACGGACCTCTGGAACGAATTAAATACGTAACCAGAGGTACCACTGTACAGTGAATAAAACAAAGCTGCTGTCAAAACATGGATTTGTACGCTAAAAGCCTTCATCATGCCATCGGAAATATCCCACAGAGCAGCGATGACCATCACTAGATACCAGCTTGCTGCTAAAGTATTACTCACTGCAACCATTTCCCTGAAACTTCCCTTCCACTGTGCCTCAAAGAAGAATTTACTTTTCCTGTAAATTCTGATGAGAATTATGGTTTTCTACCATGATAAGTTTTTCTACTGCCATGTTGACCTGCCACAGTTAAACTTATCCGCTGCCCTGGAGTAGCTCATAGATATGCTTCATAAGGTTTATTTTACTGCAGTGATATTCAGACTGCTTAAGAAAAACACTGCAGTGTTTGCCATGTATTCAACAACCTCACCTAAAAGAGACCTTAGAGAGAGAAGCAGAGCAGTGCTTTTAGAGGATGTTTCTTTTTAGAGGATGTTTCTAAACGTTTCTAGATGTTAATAAGATGGGTGCGTATCAAGCGGATATTACCAAAATAACTTCATTAAAATCACTACTGTAATTTAACCTGAAATAATAATAATGATAATGGTAATAATAAAAAATCATACAATCATAGAACTACAGAGCTAGAAGAAATCTTGAGGGTCATCTAGTCAAAACCCCTGCAAATAAATAAATAAATTTCCATAACAGGGCAAAGCAAAGTAAAAACAGGATTCATACCTAGGAAATATCTACATGTGAAATAAACAGACCTCTGGCTGTGTTGAGTTTGCTAACTGTCAGGGGGTGTGTGTGTGGATGCTACTGAATCGCCATATCTTAAAACAGAGCTTCCCAAACTTTCACGTCGGTGACACACTTTTTAAACATGCATCATTTCGCGACACAGTAATTCTGTTTTACTAGAAAAATGGAGGTTAAACTAACACCTTATAAGAGATATGGACACGCGTTGCGCAAACACACCTGCACACAACACACTAACGCGTTTCAGCACACAGTTTGGAAAGCTCTGCCTTAAAATATTTACAAATAGTCAAAAAATAAATTCCAATCTAAGCTGTGATTTAGTTTGATTGTACCGTTTAAGCCACACAAAATATGTGTTACTGGTTTATCGTTTTGTTTTCCTAATCAAATATTTCAATGCAAATAGTAACTATGGCTGTTGGGGAAATGTGTTTATATTTTTATTTTTAGGCTACTCTGAAATTCTTTTAAAAATGTATATAGTATGTAAAATTAATACATCATGCCTTAAAAGTTTTGCTTGTTATGCAAGTCAAATAAACATGGTGAGGCTGTGATACATTACCTGGGAGTAAACTCTACTGAACTCAGTAGGACTTCTAGGACATTATAGTATCGCATGGAAGTCAGATTCCAATAGACTTTGGGCACTGGAAAACTTCCCAGAAAACAGTGTGATTTTAAATTTTCTGGGAAATCCACATCACTGGCCCATATACTTGCAAGTCTATCTTTGTAGCCGCGAGGCTAACTGCTGTTATTATTTTAATGAAAGGTGAATTTTGTGCCACACTGGACACAATTTCTGTGCTCCAGCAGAGTTGCAGTGTACACAGAACCCTGATTAAGGCATGCAAAATCATTTTGCTCTCAAGAACAGCCTCCTATATCTGCTTTTGATCTCCATGGGAAAAAATATCAATGATTTTAACAAAAAGACCTCCCATTAAGTGAGCAATGAGCATGCAAGTGTTTTCAGGATCACCGGCAACACAAAATTATCTAGTTTTTGTGACATTATTAGTAATGTGCTGTGGACATTCAGCTGAAAACCCCAGTAGCAATGTTTAAATTAATTAATTCACCAGGGAAGCATCACTGGGGCAGTTACTGTTTCATGCTAGCTGAACAAAGACATTTGAGAGTCAGAAGCCTGTTCTTGTAGCTGACTAATTGCTCACAGCAGACACGTTCATTCACAAAACAGAGAGTGGTCACGGATGTGTATGTGAACACGTACACGTCTATTTAAAAATGCCATAATTCCAGTTGTACTACATGCCATTTGTTATGAAATGTCATGGATGTGTTTGATGGAATGTTCCTGGGCAGCAAGCAAATGGTTTTCAAAAGTAGCATTGAAGGAACTGAGAAGAAGTTAAAATCCCCTCACCTTATTACCCACTGTCCTTAGGAAGTTAGAACAAGTCATTTAAGAGCATTAGATAGAAGAAATACCAGATTAGTACAATTACAAAAGTCATACAACATGGTCAAGTCATAATTTAGTCAGCTATTTTAGCACCTAATTTTGATTAACATTGATTAAGTTCAATGTTAGAAGTAAATTTTATTTTCTGCATGGTTCTTAGAATCTTTGCTCTCCCTTTCCCCCCAAAGCCACTCAATTCAACCACATTGCTGAAATATTAACTGGGCTAGGAAATACTTATGACACACCTGAAACACAGAAGAAACTTAAAATTTAGTCACTTGAGTCCAATTTCTGACCTGGGTCCAGGATTTTAAATACAAACATGGAGCTCCCCAATACAGACTTTCCACCCCCCACCCCCACCCCCCGGCAAGGTGTTGATACCTTTGCACAGCCAGGTCTACTCTCCCCTTGAAAAATATGGGGGATTCTTACACGTAGGATATCAGTGTGTGTATCTGAGTGCTCAACAGATTTCTAGACTGAGCAAATCAACAAGGCACATTTTATAAAAAGTCATATTAGATATATTTTCCAATTTGGGAATCTCAAATTTGAAGTAATGATCTACTAACATTGAATTGGTAAACCTATGACTCCACATAGAAAAATCATGATTGAACACTCCTCCATCCCAAAAATTGTCTCCACAGAGAAAATGAGATGTCAAGGAGAAGGTTTCTTTCATACAAACTTTCTGTGTGCAGGAATTTTTGTGTGGAAGTGCATTCAGTTATGAAAGCCCACCACACCTACAAACTGATGTGCTACACCCAGGTAAAGGTTTACCAACACAGTGAGAACTAGGTTGTGCAGATTATTTTCATTTTGACCCACGAACTCAGTGTTTTGACTTTATATTTAAGAATTTGAAATCAGAATTCTTCACAATTCATTCTACTTAAACATTAATAAACATTGTTGCAACATTTATTTGGTGATTAGCCCTTTCTCCACACATTTATGAATTTGAAAGAACTAAATTTAAACCAGATTACCACAAAATACATATATGTGGGGGACATTCTCCTGTGCAATTACCATCAAAATGAATGGTGATAACGTTCCCTTCAATGGAACTTGCACAGGAGAGCTTCCTGCAGGATTGTGCCCTAAATAAAGCCTCATTTATCAGAATGGCACAGTGTGAAGAACCGGATCATCCAAACTTCAGACAACAGAGGTGCAATTTATTCAGGGTTATAATGGCACTGAATATCACGATATACATCTGGTAAATCTTGACCGCAAGTCATTTTTAATATCAATGGAGTAACGCATGTGAGTCAAGATGCAAAGCATGTAAGTATTCAGCCTATCTAATCTACAAATAGCTTCACACTGTTTGATTTTCAAACGTTACATTATATTAGAGCTGCCAGATATAATTTATTTCCATTCGTAACAGGTTATTGTAAAGAAAAGCAACCAAAGGCTTAAGAGTTGCAGTATTTCATAACGAATGAACCCCCCGCAACCTGAAAGGGAAAGGGAGATGGGGAGAAAGCACAAGATGTTGCATACCATGGGCTTCTCGGACTTGACCGCTTTCACTTGGAGGCATTCTTCACGCTTTGAGGTAGTGTTGCTGAGGTCTTTTTGCTCACCAATCGCGCCCTGAGTCTGGTGGCCTGGGGATCTTGTCTGAGAATGGCTGCCTTGGTCTCTCGGGGGTGGGTGCCTGGGATGGATGTCTCCACGCTGCTTCTTGGTGACATGCGCTTCAGGACCATGCACCGTTTTCACATGCTTCCGGAGAGAACTGGGGTCTGTGTAGCGCTTTGTGCACCCTGGTATCTTGCAGACATAGGGTTTCTGCAAGTGGAAAGAAATGCCAGTACTGGTTGTGAGTTCTTCCGTGGAGCATTTAACAATGCTATGCAGTACACTACTGCTACATTCAGATGCCACAGGCTGTGGATGTTATCTTTCAGCCAATGGCTGATGGGTTCTGAAGTGCCTTGTGCTGGTGGACAGGTCTGCAAGTTTAGACTCATAAGAGTGAAGCAGAATTAGCAGAGGTTAAATCCAAGCTCTCTAATCTTGGTACTATGATGCCTCAGTGTGCTTTCCTATGAAATCAGTTCCTGATGGCTTTGTTGCCATTGGTCCTTGGGCCACTTGTATGGAAATTCATCTGGGAGACTGCCAATTCTGTAGTTCTTTTGGCAGGAGAGTACCAAAGCAATATGTGCCCTACTGTGTATGACGCTGAGCTCCTTTCAAAGCACAATGTACATGCTTTGAATATGTGGAAGGGCTTTGGGGAAAACAACATAAATCCTTGAATCACTTCTGCACAGTTCTCATTCTCTACTCTGATTTCTTTATCTTGATATTCACTAGACTCTTAAGAGAATACTGAACGCCAAAGGGATTCCAATCTCACTTAACACTGTCAGTCACTAACCAGCAGGTGGCACTAGTACACAGCGCTGCAAGTCTCTGGGATTCTTCTTGTATGACATTTTCCCTTCGTTAATTCAATATATCTTATGATACATGCAGAGGAAAATAACATGTATATCATGTGACGTGGGTCCGTATTTATTTTCCTATGGGGGAAAAATATGAAGTGGCCCTTAGGGGTATATGAGCATTGAATTGTTTCAAGTCCAGAAAACATTGTAAAGGTAAAGGTACCCCTGCCCGTACGGGCCAGTTGTGTCCGACTCGGGGGTTGTGCACCCATCTCACTTAAGAGGCCAGGGGCCAGCGCTGTCCGAAGACACTTCCGGGTCACGTGGCCAGCGTGACAAAGCTGCATCTGGCGAGCCAGCGCAGCACACGGAAATGCCGTTTACCTTCCCGCCAGTAAGCGGTCCCTATTTATCTACTTGCACCCGGGAGTGCTTTCGAACTGCTAGGTTGGCAGGCGCTGGGACCGAACGACGGGAGTGCACCCCGCCACGGGGATTCGAACCGCCGACCATGCGATCGGCAAGTCCTAGGCGCTGAGGTTTTACCCACAGCGCCACCCGCGTACACCTCAACTAAGTTCAAAAGAATTATGAAAGTAGTTCTGTGAGCCTAAGGGGAACTTTAGAGGACCAGCCCCCCAGCAGCAGTTTCAAAAGCAGCTTGTGATGTGGCATGGGATCAGCTTTGGCAAGATAAGAAGTAAACTTTTCCACTGGACTGGAGCAGGGCCTGCCTGCCCATGAGGGCGACTGAGGTAGCAAGTCTCAAGTGGCCGAATCCAAAGTGTGGGCGCCCCCTAGAGAAGTGGGAGCAGCTTCCGATGAGATCTCGTGGACCTCTTGCAAAACTTTGCCGGAAGCTGCATCACATAATCAATCCTCAGGCCGCAAAATGGGAGGGGCTGCCTGTGAGCTAGAGCAAGTCCTTAAGTTGGTCCCCGTCCATATTTCAATTTGTTTATTTACTTAGGATTACTCATATGACCTAGTGCTTTGTTCTATTGTACTGGCACACGGAAGTGGCCAAATGCACTACAGAAATATTGTAAGGTTTATAAACAGAGGGTTGTATCTAATGGTGGATTTGCAAGTCAGGACACCCAATTTTCCACCAGTTTCTTTCATGTTTACTGCTCCCATCCAGCTCCTGTAATGAAGCCCCCATCAGGGTAGTACAGCAATACGAAGAAGCAAGGGCTGGCCTTCGAAGTAAGCCGTGCTTTTTGTCTGTTGTGAGGCTTAGCTTTATGTGTTTTTGAAGTGACAAAGGTGTAGACAAGAGGGCAAGCAAGCCATGGCATAAAGGAAGTTTGTGCCACCCTTCACAGAACTTTTTTTATAGAATAAGAGGTTGCCTGGGTCGGCTGTGTTGCACAGGATGTTTCTCTGGGTATGGCAGAACACAGGCCATTTTTTGTGGCACATCAGGTGAAGCGTAGCCATCAGACATAGTGGTGATCTTAATAACAAGTACTTGAAATAAGCTGAATAGAAATCAAGGAACATTCTTTCAAGCAACCTTTGCTTTTTAAATATGCCTTTTAAAAACATACTGTTAAAATGATTTATGACCTTCAAAATGTATGCAATGTACCAGTTTTGCATCTTCAAAGTTGTAGGGTGTTTCTTCTTGGTATATATTCTACAATAAATTCTTTTGACAGGATTATGTCTGTGCATGGTTGGGGGATTTTACAGCCCATGTGCTTCCTTACCTCATTGGAATGAGTTCTGTTTTGGTGCTTGGCACGATCAGACGCATTTGAGAATGCTTTGTTGCAGCCCTCATGCTCACAGACATATGGTTTCTCTCCAGTGTGAGATCTCAAGTGAGTTTTCAAGTTTTCTAGCCTGGAGTAGGCCTTTGTACAACCTTCAAACTGCAGACGACATGCAAATATGGATTATTCTGAGCACTTGGTGTTACAGAAAGTAGAGACTGTGAGGGTGGAGGATAAGCCAATGAAATAGCACCACATCAAAGGGAGAGCAGCTTTCCAAGATCTAGCCATAATAGCAATGTGTTCAAGATTTCTTTCTTTTGTTTTGTTGAGCCCATCATAATCCCTGGTTAAATGTATGTAAGATAAAAGCCTAGCTTGCATCAATATAAAGGGAAGGGTTGTTTAGACAATGTAATGCAATTCTGTCTGCCTTCCTTTGCATGCTTACCTGGGAGTAAGCCCCATTTAATAAAGTGAGACTTACTTCTGCCTAACATGAACTGAATCAGGCTGAAAGTCCTTAATTTTCATTTTTTGCTTGTTTGGTTATAGTTCAGCACTCAATATCTAAATGGAAAAAGTGATCAGAAGAGTCTGAACAACAAAAAGCAAGTTTCCTAGGCAGTGAATTCTTACGTAATTCACTGTCACAAGGCTTGGTGATGGTAAAGCTAAACTGGCTTTACTGAAGTATGTGGATTAATCCATGGAAGACAGCTCCATTTATTTATTAGAAATATTTATAATCTGCTAAATATCCCAATAAAACCATAAAAATATACACCACAATAAAAACTAAATGTAAAAACTAAAATGTAAAGACAGATAGAACTGTTCTTAAAAAAATCTCATCTAAAAAAAAACCCTTTACTAAGGCTATCAGTTGCAATAGCTGGTTCTATATCTAAAGCCTCTGGACACCAGTTGACACACAAATATAGGTGGCACGTGGATTTTAAAAAGTCATTTACAATATTCCCTTTCAACTTAAATCTCAAATACCATTTTGTTACACACAAGTTCAGATGTCATTGAACATCTGGCTATGCCACTGCCCACCTTTCTGGCACAGGGATGGGCGACTTGTCAGGATGATGACTAATAATCAGGGATGGTGAAAGCTGTAGTCCAGCGACAACTGATTAGCCACTCCACTTTGAGATCACATAAGATTAAGTTAAATATCACTGGTTCCAGCACTGATTTCGCTGCTGTGCATAGTGCCACATTCTAGGCAGTAGTGTTTCATGAGGCAGCAAAACCTGCCAAATCACGTTTGCGCAAAAGGGAAATGGAAACAAGTCCATGGGGCCACTGATTTGATTTGGGGCTGTTGACTCACAGTGCATTTGTGTGGCTTTTCTCCCGTGTGCCTCCTCATGTGTACCACCAGCATGTACTGAGCCTTGAATGGCTTCTGCTCTCGAGAACAATCCAGCCACCGACATACAAACTCCTTCTTCTCCCCGTGTATGTGATCGTTGTTGATATGCTGTATGGATACAAAGAACATTAATGTCACTTTCTGTCAGTTCTTCATATATGCTTAGAAACATCAGGTCAAGTAGGTCTAACTGACCTGGAAGCAGAACAACACAACGATACTTTTGTGTACAGAATGGCCTTCATATTAACAAATAAGTTACACCTACTTCTGTAAGCCCATCAGTCTCGACGAAAGCCAACTGGTTTTGAGTAAGCAGAAGAGTACCAAGAAATCTATCACTTTGGATAATTTCTAAGTGAATGTCTTTTTTCCCCACAAAGTTTCTCTGAGAGCTGCCTCTTTCTTCTTCTGAATATTCTAAGTTGATCAGAGTTAAGTGTGTGAAAGTGACACAACGTTGGGAACTGCCATATGTAGCAGCTATCTGGCTATTATTTAATGTTCTAACCTAATTTAATTTATTTTTCCTGCTAGTTGCTGATGTACTTTATACCACATCACCTGCTATGGCATAAGTCCTCTGTTCCAATTAAGTAATTCACATAAAATTTAACCTGAATAAATTGCATTCAACATGAGCTGACTGGCAGGATCAGACCCATATTGTTTTTGAAGTAACTGATATGTTTCAAAGGGTTCCAGATAAAAAATGGAATTTATCAACCCACTGTATTTTAAATAAAGCTGACATTCATACTGCTACATTTCCCATGAAATGATTGTAAATGATTGCACAATAGCCTGACTGTGTGAAAATAAACCACTATCATCAATAGTCTTCGTATTATGTGAATGCTGCATTTGGAAAACAACAATGGAGAAACTTGGTAGAACATGTGCTTAAATTGCCCCTAAATAATTTTATATATATATATATATATATATATATATATATATTATATATGCTTTCGTAGATTTTCACGGGTACAGGAATGCAGGTTTTGGTGTCCTCGGGTGTCTTCCCGTGTAAAAGCCTAGACACCCCAACTTTTACACGGGAAGACACCCGAGGACACCAAAACCTGCATATATATATATATATATATATATATGTATATGTATATGTATATGTATATGTATATGTATATATTTGAAATAAACTATGAAGATCAAACATTCAAAAGGAAAACAATATGAGAGTGCAATAACAAAAATCATAGCAATAGTCCAAAGCTGTTTACATATATTATATTGCAATTCTTACAACAATCTTGTAAAGCTTGGTGTAAAAGTTGGAGACCTCCTGGTACCTGATGGTCTCTTGGTCTGTCTTTAAAACTCAACAGTTCAGTGTTTTTTCTTCTCAAGGTGGCCAAAATGGCAACCTCAGTATGTTCTAAACAGCCTAGGGCCAGCATAAATCAGAGAGCACCTTCTTCTGTACAGCTCCCATGGCTCTTTAGATGTTGGCAAAAACACCCTGAGAGGGAGCAGGGCTGCAGCTTCTCTCTGGCGGAATCATTATGGAAGGCCCTCCTAAGATGGAGTGGGTCAGGTCCCAGGTCATTATTTTTTAATTGCCTCTACTCCCCCCCCCCCCAAGCTTTTCCTCTGGGCAGATCTGTGCTGATTTAAATGGTTGCATGGCTTCCTAACTGCATGGATTTTAAAAACCACACTGTGATGTGTGCTTTATAGATTATTTGGAGTTAGGAGTACAGAGTTGTTTTCTTTTGTTTCATAAACTGCTGTGGGTGTTGTATGAATGGCAAGAGAATGTGGCATAAATATTGACATAAATAAACATTCACATAAACAAGAACACAATCACCACTTAGCCACTAGGTGGCTGCCTAGTTCAGGTTTGATATCAGACCCAAAAAGTTGGGAAGGAACAGTTAGTTCACTTAATACCTTCTCCCTAAGTAGCTCATGGAAAGTCAGTAGTTCATATTTGGCCACAGAAATATAGCCAACCAAACAGGCTTGCTGATCTTCACAATCATACGGCATCCCTGTGGCAAACAGATGTAAGCTTCTTATAAGAGACAACTTTTTTTATTACCATTTGTTCTGTCTGTGTGTGTGTGTTTTAAGTTACAATGGCACACACGGCATATGAACTGAACAGATGTGCTGGACTGAGTACAGCATGTAATCTTTAAGAGTTTCTACTTCAAGTGCATATCTCTGTAGTCCATTTATATTACATGGGCCTGCACTGAGAGTGTACAGATGGCAATATTTTGAAAGTGAATCAGGGCAGTATGGAGAGGTTTATGTGCTTTCCCATTTCCTGAAAGAAAAAGAAGTGACCGCAAAAAAACTCAATTTATTAAATGAACAGCTCAGCACACCTGATTTGTGTGTGTGTGTAAATTACGAAAAAGAAAGAACAGCCCTGTCCTCATCAGAATACAGGAACAAAGTAAGATAATAGAATCATAGCATTGTAGAGTCGGAAGGGACCCTGAGGGTCATCTAGTCCAACCCCCTGTTGTGCAGGAATCTCAACTAAAGCATCCCTTGCAGATGGCCATCCAACCTCTGCTTAAAAACCTCCAAGGAAGGAGAGTCCACAACAGAAGTCATCCTACAGGGAGACCAAAGCAGTTTTGTGCCAAAACCAGGCCTAAGCCCTGACGAAAATGGATGTGGAAAATCAGTTTCCTCCCAGAGAGGCTGGTTCTTTTCTGTGACCACCTGCTCAAGAACTTTGCCCAAGAAGGAGAGATTGGTAATCGGCCCGTAATAACTTAGATCCTCCAAATCCAGGGAGGGTTTCTTGAGGAATGATTTTACCACTACCTCCTTCATGCAGGCAGCCAACACCTCTTCTCGAAACGATGTATTAATCACTTCCCTGGCACAGCTGGACCGGTGACATGTTGGGACAAACCCCATGGCAGTCATGAAGCCCTGAGCCACCCCGGAGCCAGTTGCCTCCATGCCGATGTTAAAGTCCCCCCAAAACTAGCAGTCTGGGAGGGAGTGTGTATGTTTAATTGTTTAGACGCTTATTGTTAAATAGTTTTGGGATGTTTCATGGAAGGGAAGTAAATAAAACAGTCTTCATGAAATGATCAATAGTCATCCTAAAGCTGCCTTTCTCAAAACTAGTTTGAGAACCATGTCCTCTAGAGGAAAGCCAAATGTTCACAAGCTTCTGTTTTCACTGCAAAACCTGCCCTTTCTGGGAGTAGGAAAATGTAACTTGTTTAATTAATTAATTAATTTCATGAAATTTTATACACTGCTTGATTGTAAAACACTTTAAAGTGGTTTACAGAAAGATAAAACAATAAAACTGAGAAACCAGACTTTAAAACATAATAAAGTTACAATACTAATTAAAATTCACTTCAACTTTCTAAAGCTTCTAGGTGGGATTCTCTAAATAGATAGGTTTTTAGCAGGCACTGGAAAGAGTGCAGCGAAGCACCTGTTTGATCTCAAAATGCAGGGAGTTCCAAAGTGAAGGCGCCACCACACTAAGCAATCAGAGTTCTCACGATGTGGAATGGGCATTCCATGGCATCTGTGGCAGTGCCAGTTCTGTTGATCGAAGCAGTCCACGTGGGCACTTGCGGGGTAAGGCAATCTCATAGGCCTTGTTCCCACCTCATTCATTTTCCCAGCACCCACAAAACGAGTCCTCGGTGCTCTTCATGAATTAACTTAATCTTACTTCCTTTCACATCTTCTATTTCTGCAAGGCTGACACCAGCTTTCTCCTAAGTTTAGATCTCTTCCTTTCCTCCCTGATATCTGCCCTTGTTCTTTTAAAAAGCAAATACATATGAGTGCACAGCACTCACATAGTAAAGCAATTGTGTTAGTAAGAATGAAGCTGTTTATCTATTTTATTATGAGTACCATGCGTATGCTTTTTAGCCAAGATTGGCTGCACAATTTCAACACAATTAAAATCCAAGATACAACATACAATGCTAGAGGTGTCGCTGTGCTGGAAGAAGAGTGGGACTATTTATACCTCACAATCTTAGCTTCAGTTTTTGTTTTTTTCTTTTGCATTTTGCGTTGCTCTTACCAGATCCTGCCTGGCTATCCCTTCTCTTTAATTAAAACCACTTGCTGAATCTTCAATTTAAAAAAACACACCATACGGTCAGTATTCTGATGTCTGCAGTAAGATCTACTGCAGTTTTTTCAAAGCGATGAAAGAAGTTACACAGAGTTGCCACAAATAGTATACAACGCTTCATTTAAATCCCATTTATGGGATTGTGATTTGAACAAATGCCAAAAAGGGATGCGCTAACTGGCTAAACTGTGCAGGCAGTCTAAAGGGAGCTTCAAGTATTAAACACACATATTACATGAACACTCTCATATACACAACCAAAGCCTTGACAACTGAAGCTGAGAATCTTTTCAACTTTGACATCACAAGCACTATTACTGATTCACCACATTAGCCATAGACTAAGGATAGCTGCCAACCTTTCCCTTTTCTTGCGAGGAATCCTATTCAGAATAAAGGAATTTCCCTTAAAAAAAGGGAAACGTTGACAGCTCTGAGACTAAGCTCCACAGGATTGAATTCCTCCAAGGTTTGACTCAGAGTGTTATCCCAACCAGATCTCATGGTCAAGCTCTCTCCTCACTGTCCGTGTGCTGTAACTGAGAACAACTCTTGGTTACAGCCTGTGGTTACTGAGGTGAGCTTAACCTTGAGTCCTCATTGGGACGACTTGCTAAGCCAAACCTTAGCTTACCTCAGCATAGTGCAGCAATAAAAAGAGCTCCTCTCCAGGGGCCAGAAGATGCAATGTGGTCTTAGTGAATACTAGAATGTTAAGTTCTCTGGCATCAGAAACCAAACATAGAACCAAACAGAAGATTATCAGGTAGCAGAAAGCCTTTGCATTGGCCAGGCCTGTATCAGTACGTACCATGATCTTTGCCCAGCTAACACAGCAGTACTTTCTTCCTGCCACACACCTGCCTCTAGTTTAAGCTCTTTTTCTGTCTTGGTACAGGGGTGAGTTAGCTCAAATGGCAGAGTGTTGGATCAGCCATGTGAGAGGTAACAGGATCACTGTCTACATTCTCCAGCCATCCTCCCTCCTCTTCCTTTAGCA